CGGGAACGCTTTTATTATATAGCAAAATGTGGCTGCCGGACTCTTCATAATTCTGCTTTCGAGCATCTAGCCTTACTGCTTTAAGGAGATTATGGGCTCGTTTGGATGTGCTTTTAAAATGACTGAAAACACTTTCAGAAAAAATGCTTTTGGGTTTCAAAAGCACTTAAAGTGCTTTCTACAAAAAGCACCAGTTATGAAGCACTTTAAGTGCTTTTTCAGGATTTACTAGCAATTTTATTAAGGATTGTTTCCAAAAACATTTTCACCTAAAGCGCTTTCAATCATTTTAAAAGCACATCCAAACGACCTCTAAATTATCCTTTCCTTATGAGTCTTTCATCAAAATTAGACTGACTCCTCTGTGGAATGGTAATTGCAGTTACTTGCAGATGGAGTCATCCCAAATGAGTATGGCATTAATCCAACACAGAAGCTCAAGATTGGTTCAAAGGTAGCATTTCCTTCAGCATGCCCCTTTCATATTACTCCTTATGTCAGAAATATCCTTAATTAGAGCAGTAGATATTTTATATGCATTCTCCTGATTTCTCGGTTGGTCTATTGCTTCTTGTACACTGCTCTTTGTATGCATTTTATTTTCCTCAACATCAAATTGTATTTTACTCCCTATCAATATGCTATATTATTGTCCTTTTCTTTCAGATTGCTCGTCGTTTGTTGGGTAAGATAATGATTGACCTGAGGAATACTCGCGAAGAAGCCATCAGTGTTGCTGCTGAACCAAAGAGTGATCAGGATGAACATTCAAAGCCAACCAATACTGAAAAGGAAGATAAGGAGAACCACGCCAAGCTTCATGTTAAGAGCGATGATAGAAAATCTAGCATGAGTGATATACCAAAGCTTTACAATAAGAATGAAGATGTGAGAAGATCCAGTACAACCAGCGAGATATCAATCGATCAGGATGAGGACGATGATAAAGAGACGCAATATCGTTTGGATCCAAAGTAACATGAGAGAACCTCACTTCCCCCCTCTTCCCTTCTAGTACGGATTATTCTAATTTATTTATATTAATAAATTTTCATTACCTTGTTAGGTATGCAAATGTCAGAACGCCTGAACGGCATGTGCGAACGCGCCTGTACTTTACATCAGTGAGTACATACTTTTATGTACTGTTTTATGTTTGAACGTAATTCGTGTAAGTTGATTAAATTTTTGGAACGACAGGAATCTCATATCCACTCTCTCATGAATGTTCTCCGTTACTGTAACTTGGATGAGTCTCTTCAAGGAGAGGAAGGCCTTCTTTGCCATAGCGCTTTGGAGCGTTTATACAATACTAAGGAGCTTGACTACATGAGTTATATAGTTCTGAGGATGTTCGAGGACACGGCGGTAAGTAACTAGGTAGTGTAACACAAGTAGTTTTAGTGTGACAGTCAATTTTCAGAGCTAGTGTTACACGGCCCCCATATACGTTTATGATACCAAAGTATTTTTGAAACTGAAATCGCAGGTAGCTCTAGAAGATACGAAAAGATTTCGCGTGGAATTGACCTTTAGCCGTGGTGCAGATCTATCACCATTGGAGGTAATACAATTGAAATTATAGAAAAACTGTTATCACCAAATGAATCAAAACGCATTTCTTAAAAGGAGAAAATAGGAAAACCAATTATCGCGGAATATGAAATCAACTAGGTGAGTTATGTTTGCTTGTTCAACAAATTAAGCTGTGTTTCATCTTGTGCTTGGCAGAGCAATGACAGTAAGGCTTCGTTCTTGCGTCAAGAGCACACACTACCGGTCATGGGTCCAGAGAGGTTGCAAGAGGTGGGATCATATCTAACATTAGATAAAATGGAGACAATGATACGCTCATTTGCTATGCCAGCGGAAGATTTTCCTCCACCGTCGACTCCAGCAGGATTCTCGGGCTATTTCTCAAAAAGTGCGGCGGTGCTTGAGCGCCTGGTAAATCTCTGGCCTTTCCATAAGCATGCTAATTCTAATGGAAAGTAGAAAACACCCTTACCGCCCTTGCCTCTTTCTTTGCTTTTTTACCTTCTTCGCTGTTCTTGCGCACATCTGGAGGTACACGGAAATTTGGTTGGTTGAACAACCGAGGTCGAATTTTGAGAACTTCAGGAGTAATTTTGGAATGCTAACAGCTGAAAACCACAGATAAATGTTGTTTGAAAGTAACAACCACGTTAGACGTGTTTGAGGACTGCTGTAATATTCTCGTGACTATTTAGCGAGGATATCGTTACCTTAATGTCTCCACCGGCAATATTTACCTGTCCGCCACCGGTGTCCACGTGTCGTTTGTACCAATTCGAGCGCATTTATACCTCCCTCGTAATCTTACCTTTTTATGATTTTATCTACCAGAATATTAGCTAAAAAGAGATTTGGTTAATCTTTTCGTGGAATAAAGCGTTGTGACAAATTAAGGTGGGGAGACTATGGAGGTCGCTATCTTATGGATTATGGTGGCAACGATCACAATAGCTTTACTTTGTGCCTACCAATAACCGCATGATTTTGCATTCCACTGGCTAATCATATAAACGGCAAAAGTAACACGAAAAGGATCTCTTTCGTTGCAGATTCTTTCAGCTAAAATGGACTGAGATTATTAAGACTCCTTATTTTACTCTCTAATAGTGAAAATCGATAAAAGTGATCCATGAGTTTATTCGCTGTTAATTATTTTGGTCATTTGATGAAAAATTTGTCAATATCTTCGTCAAATTGCCACGTGAAAGACCACGTAACTACCTTTTTAAGGGTATTTTTATCAAACAATCCCTTCCTTAACGAGTTTTTCATGGAATGATCAAAATTGTTTATGATGGGGAATGGATGAGTGATACAGTAAGGAGTTTTACCAATTTTATGAACTACTTTAACTAAAAAGGCTTCTTTACAAGTGATAATAGGAAACCTACAATTCATATTTGGTGATGGATGAGTGTTCAACACAGGATCTCGAGTGCAAGAACTGCATCTATCGGTTGGCTACAAACTTCTTGCGAACCTTCTGGCATCAGTAAATTTTGGTTTTATATTCCATGCGCATGGGAACCTTCTTGCGAAGCTTCTTGCATTCTTTTTCTCGTTCTGCACAGTATGCTTAGAAGAACAGCAAAAGAGAGGAATAGAAAGATAGAATTGTGATCTCGCTAAATCTCTCATGACAGATTATTTATTGTTGTGTCAATTTCCGATGATTCCGTGGTCTTAGGACGTGGAGGGTAGGATTGTCATTGTCAATTTCCAATGATTCCGGGGTCTAAGGACGTGGAGGGTAGGATTGTCATTGTATTATCTACTGTGGATTTAATCAGAACACGTACCCAAAGGCCACAACACTACCACAAAAGCACCAAAGAATGTGGACATACAACATTGGACCATCGGCATCCGATAAAGATGAGCATCCACCAAAGTGTCCAAACCACAAGATTTCATTTTTCTTGTCGTAATTGAGTTTCCTTGGTAAGTGAAAACTCGTTTGATAGAGGAAAAGTATGCGGGAGAAAGAACGAATCGAGGAATGATAAAAATACGTGAAGTAATGTGTATGGACAATGACGATTCAAGATTTTACTATTTGAAGTCGAGATGCAAACACGTTTGGGAGAAAGAGAAAAGAATGAAAAATAACAATTAAAAGTTAAACAGTGCTACATTAATTCATAATTTTAAGATAAAATATCCTAAATTGCAAATATACACGACAATATTTCATACTCTATGAACGTTATATTATAGTTTCGTTGTCAATACAAGAAAAAAGTAAGTTTGTATCTAAATCACACTAGTGGGAAAAAGCTTTAGTGTTTTTGTATCTAAATCACACATGACAAATTCTAAATTCATGTCTTTTCGTTTACAACCGAAGTAGAATTCCCTCCTCTTTCCTCTCTCACTTTTCTTTTTGTTTTTCTCTCTATAAAAATTTAACATAAAATATTAAAATAATTTAATCGTAATCGTTCAAATAAAATGAGAATTTATTTTAAACAATAAATGAATCCTACTCCGTTTATGACCCACTTGCCGCAGCTTCAAACTCACAGAGCCTTGAATTCGTATTCCTTGGCCAGACAAACAACTACCACTCGTTGATGCCAAATCAATCCTGCACGTCCACGTGTTGAAATCCTTGATCAGATCGAGTTCTACAAAATTTATTAAAAAAAAAATATTATCGGGCGCGACCGCATCCATCACCAGCGTCCCCGGAACCAGTTCTTGTCTAGAAAATTGGAAAAGTGGCAAAATGGTAATTGTATAATCCACGTGTTAGTTCCGTTATTTTCCAACTGCTATAATTATTATATCTTTAAATGAATTCTCTATTTGCATCCGTTGGATTTCTATTCAACGTTCTACGTTCCTTGATAAGATTAAGAAAGATCCTCACCTTGGACCCAAAAAGGATCCAAATCCATCCCTACATAGCCAAAAGTCCAACGTCCAACTCAGAAATTAAAGTGTCAAAATTCTCCAGAACAATTTGGAGCTTTCTTTCCATCATTTCAACTGCTTCTTTATTCTTACACCGGTCCATCCATGGCAGTACGAACACGTCAGCACCGTTAGGTTTTGATAGCTACAAGCTTCACCGTCCAGCAAAGAAAACAGAGGAAAATAGGCATCAGCATACGTTACTATCTAATTTCACCCAAAAAGGGAAAATACAATTAACCTTTACTCTATTTCAAATCGATCACGTATTAATATTATCAAGTTGTAAATAACTGTACGTAATTGATTTGGAAGAGTGTTATAGTTGAGTTCAAGGGCATTCAGTCGCTCAATATAAGCAGTTGAATCAAATTTAACAATTAAATATGTATCAGCATCTAAGTGCTCAAAACAATTACATAACTGAAAGAAAAAATTAATAATCGTGTACGCGAATGACTTGAAATATTAGTATGGACCAACCACGAGGACCACACTCATTCCACAGTACATCAAAAGAACATAAATAGAAAGCTAGTAAAATCAGTGTGAGCTTACCAATTACCAGATAAATAATCCTTTTGTTCATCTCCCACGAACGGTTAACCGCTTTAAACATCCTAGACAGAGAGAGAGGGAGAGAGAGAAAGTGGGGAGAGAGAGAGTGGAGAGAGAAAGTGGAGAGAGAGAGAGAGAGAGGAGAGGGTATAAAACATAAACACTAAACAGAGTGCTCTGTTTTGCGTTAACTTTCATCAAACTTTACTATTTTCTTATATGTAATTGTGTAATATCGACTGCTAATTATTCTTGCTGAGGAACTAAGAATCGATAGGCAGAGATGGATGAGAAAGCTGTCGATTTGGACGCCGTGTTGAAGGAAGCTGTCGATTTGGTACCAAAACAGAGCAAACCATCACTCTGTTTTCTCAAATTTCTTTTTTTGTTTTTTATTTTCTGGATTTTTCGTTATCTGGGTTGGCTGGTTCTACCTTATGCAGAATGACTTGTTTTTCCTTGTAGGTTTTTACTTTTTAATTATTTCGATTTTTTTTTTATCAATTTGCAGGAACACGTGCCACTTGAAGAAGTTTATGTGACCTTGAGGTGCAACAAACATGGGCTCACATCTGAGGCTGTTGAGCAGAGGTTGGCCATTTTTGGGTTCAACAAGCTTGAGGAGAAGAAGGTGCTGATTTTTTATATTTAGTTTTTTCTCGGGAAAAACTGAGCGAGGTGTCGTTTTAGGATTTATACAGTCGACCTTATTCGGCGGGATAAGGCTTGGTTGTTGATGTTTTTTGCATGAACATATAATTAATTGTTAATTTTAAACTAGTAGTTAATTTGTATTGATGGGTTGGTTATGCAGGAAAGTAAGGTTTTGAAGTTTTTGGGGTTTATGTGGAACCCTCTCGCATGGGTGATGGAAGCTGCAGCTATCATGGCCATAGCTCTTGCCAATGGAGGAGTGAGTACCTTTTTGCTCCCCCTCAATATATTCTTGTGCATTTTTTAATTCGAGCTTCTAACCTAGTCCAATAAAATCACTTCGAACTTGGGTGCTGAAGCATGGATACTTTAGTTTACTTGAAAGTTGATGAGTATAAAGAGCTTGCCCCTAATTAAAACAAGGAATATAACTATCACAATTGAATGAACTTAAATTGGATGTTTTCATGTTAAAATACGTTTTAAATTATATATTTCTTGTCGCATTCATGACGTATCGTATCCTAATTTTTAGATATTTATGTATCATCTTGTCGAGTCATATCATATCACCGGCTATCCGTATATTTTATCTATGAGGTGTAGAGAGTGAGACACATGATAGGACTTCTACCACCTGTGGAAATATGATTAAAAACACTTAAAAATACTTTCAAGAGAACAAGGTAATCGTAGTATAGGTAGCTCAAGCAAGGTCGTGCTCCATAAGAATTGATATGAATAAGTTGTATTTAAAACTAATTCATAGTTAGCTATTCAACACAAGATTTTGAAAGATATGAAATTGCGAATTAAAGTAAAGATTACAAGAAATAAACGTTAATTAAATCGGCAAGAACTTAAACTGAAAAAAATAATTAAAACAAACAGTTTAGAGAATCCCCGGTAAAAAGGCATTAGGGTTTAGCGGTTACCATTAACAATCATATATAGTTCTACCAATTAAGTATGAGTTAACACATACAAACTTTGAAGGTTAGGTTTTCCTTATGCATTTTCTACTTGTGACTTTCGAACTATAACGTATATCTCACATGCAATCCGATTGTGGCATGAAGCATTACCTTGCAAGAAACAAACTAAAAATGATATTTCTGGCTGTGTTTCCTCATTAATCACATGCTTATTCAAAATAATTTTTGACTATTTTTTTCAAATTCTTTTTCTCGATACAAAGGATATTGGGAGAGGGATAGTGAAAATCGAATTTGGGACCTTATAACCTGTTGGGTTTTGATTTTGTAGGGAAAGCCACCGGATTGGCAAGATTTTATTGGCATCATTGCTCTGCTGATCATCAACTCAACTATAAGTTTCATAGAAGAGAATAACGCGGGAAATGCCGCTGCTGCTCTCATGGCCCGTCTCGCCCCCAAAGCCAAGGTATTTAGCCGAAAATAGACGGGAAATGATTTCCGCACCCTTATTTCTTTTTTGCGCACCCCTGTTTATAGCAACCATATTAACGTTCAAGCCAGGTTTTTCGAGATGGAAGGTGGATCGAGGAGGATGCTTCCGTTCTTGTCCCCGGTGATATAATCAGTATTAAGCTTGGGGACATTATTCCAGCTGATGCTCGTCTACTTGACGGCGATGCACTGAAAATTGATCAGGTGCTTTTACGACCATATTGTTCGCCGTGTGCTGAGTTAAGGTTTCCTTTGACTGACTGGAGGTACTTGTATTTGGTCTTTGCAGTCCGCGCTTACAGGCGAGTCACTTCCTGTGACGAAAAGCCCTGGCGACAGCGTGTATTCAGGTTCTACATGCAAGCAGGGAGAGATTGAAGCAGTGGTGATTGCCACAGGTGTTCATACCTTTTTCGGCAAGGCAGCTCATCTTGTGGATAGCACAAATCAGCAAGGCCACTTTCAAAAGGTAAGCATATGCGAAGATGAAGAGTTCAATGGCGGAATGGGGTATGAAATTTATGAGGGAATCTGTTGAACTTACTGAGATAATACTAGTTATAATGTATGAACATTTTTTCCGTAGAAGATTTCAGTTCGCGTTTTTTATCTGTATTTGTTACTGTTTTTATGCTGTGTAGGTCTTGACTGCCATTGGGAATTTCTGTATATGTTCTATTGCGGTGGGAATGATTGTAGAGATCATAGTTATGTATCCAATTCAACACCGCAAATATCGCCCAGGAATTGACAATCTGCTGGTGTTACTCATCGGAGGAATTCCCATTGCTATGCCCACGGTTTTATCTGTCACAATGGCTATTGGTTCCCATCGCTTATCTCAGCAGGTCGGTTATAAATTTATAACAATTTAGAGATGTTATTCGCTTGTCGATTTAGATGATCAAGGCTTGATAGGAGCTCAAGATAAATATTGCAGGGGGCTATCACTAAAAGAATGACGGCAATTGAGGAGATGGCAGGCATGGATGTCCTTTGCAGTGACAAAACCGGAACTCTGACGTTGAATAAGCTTTCGGTTGACAAGAATCTCGTAGAGGTTAGTTGCTGTGATAGGGTTCTTAGCTTTCTTGATCGTGCTACGCTGTTCTAATTCCTGTAACGAACTTGGGTGTTTAGATCTTCGCTAAAGAGGTGGACGCAGATACTGTTGTTCTAATGGCAGCTCGAGCCTCCCGAATGGAAAATCAAGACGCAATAGATGCTGCTATTGTTGGAATGTTGGCTGATCCAAAAGAGGTATAATCTTTAACACAAAATATGTGGAACCGTATTTGTTTTCTTTGTGTTATGCTCACTTGTTTCTTCTTTCGGACTGCAAAATAGGCCAGAGCCGGTATCCAAGAGGTGCACTTCCTTCCATTCAACCCGACAGATAAGCGAACGGCTCTGACATACATTGATAATCAGGGTAAAATGCATCGTGTCAGCAAGGGTGCACCGGAGCAGGTATGTTTATGAGCTACTATTTGTCGGTCTCAATGGTTTCAGTGCTGATTGTAGTAATTCATACCTGATTTGATGATTAGATTTTGAACCTTGTACGCAATAAATCAGAGATAGAACGTAGAGTTCACACCGTGATTGATAAATTCGCGGAGCGAGGTTTACGATCCTTAGCAGTAGCATACCAGGTAATATTAATCCTGCACAGTTCTTGTTCTATCATATATTGTAGTTCGTGTTCTCAAAGCTAATCTCCCCCTTGTAACATTTTTACGCGCAGGAAGTTCCAGAGGGAAGGAAAGAGAGCCAAGGAGGGCCTTGGCAATTTATCGGCCTCTTGCCTCTGTTCGACCCACCTAGGCATGATAGCGCAGAGACAATTAGAAGGGCATTGAATCTTGGGGTAAATGTTAAGATGATTACAGGTGCATCTCCTTCAATACCACTTTACTTTTACTTATAATTGTCTACAAATTGTAGTTCGTAATTTTTTTTTCTCATCGAATTGATCCGGATATCATGTGCTTGCCATTTGAAATTGCTACCAGGTGATCAACTGGCAATAGCGAAGGAGACAGGGCGCCGCCTGGGCATGGGAACCAACATGTATCCATCATCCAGTCTGTTAGGACAGAAGAAAGACGAGTCGATTGTCGCTCTGCCAGTTGATGAACTCATTGAAAAAGCTGATGGTTTTGCTGGTGTATTCCCTGGTACTATAACAAATACACTGTATGCTTCGTGTGCATTTTTGGAGCTTATTTCTTCCCTTTTTTTCGTGCTTAGTCCCGTTGCATCTTTCCTGCAGAGCACAAGTATGAAATTGTGAAGCGATTGCAAGCCAGAAAGCATATTTGCGGAATGACTGGTGACGGCGTTAATGATGCTCCTGCTCTTAAAAAGGCTGATATCGGCATTGCTGTTGCTGATGCAACTGACGCAGCTCGTAGTGCTTCAGACATTGTCCTCACCGAACCTGGCCTTAGCGTCATCATCAGCGCCGTGCTAACTAGTCGGTCCATATTCCAGAGAATGAAAAATTACACGGTTAGTACTGAAACACAATACAACTGCATACATAGTAGAGTCTGCTCGATCCAAGCTCATGTCGAAAAAATTAAATGATTCGGTTTCCTTCTTGTTGCAGATATATGCTGTTTCCATTACAATCCGTATCGTGGTAAGTTAATTTGTATCTCTTAATTTTTCGTAGTGATCGAAACGAAAAATGCTGCAATTGTAGTCCTTGAATGGTTCTGAAATCGACTTTGAGTTGAGTCTACTGAATTTCTTCTGTTACAGCTTGGTTTCATGTTACTGGCACTCATATGGCAATTCGACTTCCCGCCCTTCATGGTGCTGATTATTGCTATTCTCAACGACGGCACCATCATGACGATATCAAAGGATAGAGTGAAACCATCTCCGCAGCCGGACAGCTGGAAACTGGCGGAGATCTTTACAACTGGAATTGTCCTCGGTGGTTACTTGGCTATGATGACAGTTATTTTCTTTTGGGCAGCATACGATACAAACTTCTTTCCGGTAAGACTTGATGTTTCTTGTTCATCTTAGGCTTTAGTTTCTTTGCTAACACTAGTGTTTGTTGTTTTCAGCGTACCTTTGGGGTTTCGAGCCTTCACCATAAGGACGCGGACGACTATAGGAAGCTCGCCGCTGTAGTTTACCTGCAAGTGAGTACCATCAGCCAGGCCCTTATATTCGTCACGCGAGCGCGGAGTTGGTCTTTCGTCGAGCGTCCTGGTCTGCTGCTTGTAGCAGCTTTTGTCATTGCTCAGTTGGTGAGTGAAGTATTTGCGTTTTGCTTGCATCTTTTGCTTATGCGCGGTCACCCTTAATTCATCTAATCTTGAATTTTTTGTGGAACAGATTGCTACGCTGATCGCTGTCTACGCCAATTGGAGTTTCGCTGCGATTGAGGGAATTGGATGGGGGTGGGCTGGCGTGGTTTGGCTGTATAACCTCATTTTCTACTTCCCGCTCGATTTTATCAAGTTCTTCATCCGATATGCCCTGAGCGGGCGAGCTTGGGATCTCGTAATTGAGCAAAGGGTACGAATAGCAATCGCAATCTAGTGTTACTGTCGTCCAATGGCGTAAACATGTTTGGTTGGTGCCGTTGTTGAGTCTTGTTCGTTCTTTTCGTCATGGAATTCTGTGTTTTTGCAGACCGCCTTCACAAGGAAGAAGGATTTCGGGAAGGAAGAAAGGGAGCTTAAATGGGCACATGCACAGAGAACCCTCCATGGACTGCACCCACCGGAGGCCACGATGTTCAGCGATCGCACTACTTATACAGAACTCAATCAGATGGCTGAAGAGGCAAAACGACGAGCTGAAATTGCCAGGTACAACACACACATTGTATTTATTCCGTGACAATTTTCTACATGCCAAGATACGAAATTACAAACTTTTGAATGTTTTCGCAGGCTGAGGGAATTGCAGACCCTTAAGGGCCGTGTGGAATCAGTAGTGAGGCTGAAGAACCTGGACATAGACACAATCCAGCAATCATACACTGTCTGAGTCTCCGAGTCTCGGAGAAATGAATATGATTCCCCTCTGTAGCGTACAACTAGTAGTTTTAGCCGGCGCGTTGCCACGAAAATGTCAAATGGATTATAAGTATTGTATATAAATGTTAAAATAACAGACTAAAATGTGTTCGAAGCATTATGCGTAGATATTTAGAAACTTTCACATAAAACATCAATGTAAACAGAGAGAACAAGAGACGCAAGGCCTTCTTCCCTAATTAGAATTCGTCCCAATCAAACTGCAAATGTAAAACACAAACTGTGAGCTTAGAGCGAGCGGTATTTCTCGACCTTCTTCTCGAGCTCGTCCTTTTTCCCGCCGATCACACGATCAACTTCCTTCCCTTTCTTCAACAGCACGAACGTCGGCATTGCCTGCACTCCGAACTCCTGCGCCACTTCCTGCATAACAAAAAGAAAACCCACTTCAGAAACAAAACGCAAAAACGGTCCTTTGCTTGTTTGAGACTGATTTCAGAAAGTGCGTTTTACTTGACAATGCTTCTCAATAAAGCACTTCTGCACGGCATTTTACTGGAAGCGCTTATACTAGAAGAACATCGAAAATTTTAGTAAAAATTCAAGTGCATCTCGAAACCGCACTTGAAGCACTTCCTAAAAGAGAACACTATCTAACTTGCCAAAAGTTGCTAGGTGCGTGCCTATTAGCTAATTTAAAAGCAATTTCAAAAAAGGCTTCTAGGTTATAAAAGCGCTTTATAAATAAGCACTTAAAACTTATAAACAGAAGTACTTGCTACAAAAGCAATCTTATTAAGCCAAAGTTTGGAGGGACTTACAGAGAGCTCATCGACGTCGATCTTGGCGAACTGGACGTCGGTGAACTTGGCGGCCATGGCGTGGATGGCCGGCTCAATGAACCGGCAGGGCCCGCACCACGACGCCGAGAAATCGATTACCAGCTTCACGTTCCCCAATTAATCCAAAAAGTTCCAACGATTAAGTCAATAAAACAGTCAAATCAGAATCCCTAATCTCTCGATATTTTCAAAACCCAAAAAATAAAATAAAACTAAAAATTATTATTGGGCAAGTACCAGCTGGGAGGATTCCTTGTGGGAGTTCAAGTGAAGCTGCCACCTGGCCGACGAGTGAAACGACGTCACCCCGGGCTCCTCCCCGTACGCGTCGGAGTCATCCGCCGGCGCTCCTCCGATTAAGCTTGACAGAAACGATCCCATTCTCTCTCTTTCTCGATCGATCGAGCGATCTTTCTTCCAACTATGACTCGATGTCAAACGACCATATGTTGAGTGGACGATAATCAAGATATAAATTGTCAAGGGCCCAGTTATGATGGTAATTTAGGCCCAGTTATGATGGTAATTTAACCCGTCAAACTCGATTTTCGCGAAAAACCGCTCGAAACGGTTCAGTTTCGGAAAATTAAATTTCGGATATTTTGCTGTTGTGGATAACCATCGGGTAAATTTTTCCAAACCCATACCCAAAAATATACAATCTCGTTTCTACCCTCTATGAATAACGGTTTGGGCAGTATTGACTTTTTAAGTATAGATCGGAGCATAATATGCACGAAGATTGTTGTACATTTGATACTTGCCCGTACATTCAGTCACTCTTTCATCTAGTTCATGCTAGGTTGAGTTGAGACTTAAAACACGCTAAGCAGAACTTTAATCTTTCACGTTCTTTGCAAGTTAATTTTTGTCTATAATTATCTTTCGTCATAAATAAATGCAAAAGAAAAAAAAAAGTGTGCGGAAGTCGCTTTCTATAAAACTTTATTTAGAACATTACAAAATGCAATTTAATTTGTAAACCAAAAATATGAAAGAACCTCAACCAATGCACGCGCAATAAACCTCATCCAAATGCTACATCTTTCTTTCTTAGGTTCCACTAAAATGGAACAGGAACACCTTGTTTCTTGTTCACAATGGCCATTGCCAAATACCGGGTGCCCATTCCGATGGGCGACGTTTCATCAGGCCCCTCCCAGAAGGGGGCCTCTCCTTCGCCGACGAGTTGCCAGTATCCGTTCCTCAAAGACTCAAACTGTTCTTCTGTACAGTTCTGTGTTAATGCTTCCGCCCGAAAATTTATCCCAAGAGAACCAAGGAACTGAGACTGAGTAATCGGGCCATGGACAGAAACCTCTCCTGCAGAAATATTAAGTTTAGAAGAAACATATCCTCAACCTTTTCATGACTCCAATCCATGGAAATATTAATACTTGAGGAAAGACTAATGAGACAGTGTACCTGAAATTTCCTCGGCAGAGTGCCTAATGGAAGCAAAATCAACATATGCACTGAGATCAGCAGAGCCCGGATCATCCAGAATGTTGACAAATTTATGTTTCCGAATTGCCTGCAACAAAGTAAGTGTCGCGGAAGTTAGAACAACAATCAGCAGTATACACGAACACAACTCATCTTGAAAAGACGACCAAAATTAGATGTGGAAAGGCAACAGACCTGCAGACTATTGGAGACTACTCCATTGAGGCCATAATCAATTATAAGAGCTCCACCTCCGTCAGAAGCAACTCTTTCGGCAATAGTTTGAGTCAACTCCATTGCTTTGGGGCAAACCTCAATATGTTGAAGCTTTGCTATTTCTTCATTTCCAGCCCATTTGCAGCGTTTTGCGAGATAAAGAGTTGCTGGTGTAGGCTGTGAAGACAGAACAAAACGAAACCTAAACAATATTTATGAGTATCAAATAACACAATTCTTTTGGAAGCACCTGCAAAAGAGACAATTCTAGTTTCCATCCTTACGTTGAATCTTCTGCAACATCAATCATTTTCTCAGACCAGCCACGAGCAGCTTTCTGCAGTAAGTAAAAAAGATTAAGAATTGGTTAAACAAAATAGAAGAATAATCATCGAATGAGCAATTGGAGAGGTAGGTCAGAAATGAACCACACAAACCTGAAATTGATGAACTGGTAAAGCATCATAAAACTCGTGGGCGATTATGATAGATGGCACTGGCATGATAATCAAGAAAGCTAGTCAGTCGTTGCACTAGCCGTCATCCATTCATTCATTTCCAATATAAACACACAAAAATAAGCTCATCTTGCTTGTAACATAAATAAGAACACAACTACATACATCCTGTTGGAACGTCTTCCAATGTGGCATGCCATGACACAGGAGTTTTAGCCAACGCGCTTACAGTCCTTTTGCCATCCGAAACCTCTTCGTCTACACATTCCAGTTTCTGATGCTGAAGTTTCTGCAACGTAGGACTGCACTCTACCATGTGCACGTGCAATGATTCAGTGAAGTTCTTAAGTTTTGACGCACCCTACACAACATAGAAAGTAGCGGCAGTTACTGTATTTCCATTTCTATAGCAATAACAATAAAGAAGTTCAATGAGCAAAACTGGTTCATACTCGAAGAAGATCGGCCATGAGAGTTCCTCTTCCCGGACCTAGCTCAACTAGGTTCACCCTAACCGGCTGTCCCATTTGCTCCCACAGTGACATTGCCCAAACACCAACCATCTAAATTCAAACAAGCAGAGAAAACAACAAAACACATTTTCTCTTCAACAATCAAATTCAAACAAGAAGATAAATTAACAGAGTAATCAACAATCCAACAACAATAAATTTACCTCCCCAAACATCTGGCTCACTTCTGGGGAGGTGATGAAATCACCTCCAGCTCCGAACACATCTCGATTCATGTAGAATCCGGCTTTCGGATTCGTCAGAACCTCCTCCATAAACTCAGCAACCGAGATTGGGCCGCCGCGGAACTAACCAAAACCCCACATTCACAACCACATTGCCACTCAAATTGCAACATTTACAGGTAACCTAAATCAAAAAAACGGAGAAAATAGAAGAAAAAACAAACCTTGATGATTCCTTTGAGGTGCTTGACGAGCTCGGAGTCCGAAGTGGGTTCATGGGAATGCTCTGCCACAAAAATTAATTACAAATATTATGAAATTAATGAGAAAAACCAATTAGTGAATGAAAATCATGGATTGGTGGTGGTACCGGGTGGGTTGTACAAGCCGGAGCGGTCGACGGCGATGGAGGTGGTGGGTTGAGTGGTGGTTTGGTTAGGGTTGTCATCCAACTGTTCGACGAAAGGACTGTGTGGGGTTTGGGAAGAAGAAGAATAAGATGTTGAAGAAACTGAACGGTTGGGAATTAAAGGAGCTGAATACGGCGGAGGAAAGTGGGAGTTCGGAAGACGTCGGCGAGCGGCGGAAGCTTGTAGCACAAATCGTCTCAACATCTTCGAACACCTGTGGTCACTCTCTGCGGGGACTCGCGTGGTGGAAGTGACGAAGTGAAAACAACTTCTTCAACAAACTCGCCAGTTGCCAAATTCTCTTTAAAATTCACGTTAGAGGATACAATTGCCAACACGGGGATGTAGCTCAGATGGTAGAGCGCTCGCTTAGCATGCGAGAGGTATGGGGATCGATACCCCACTTCTCCATTCGTTTTTGTATTTTCTATGGTTTGGTAATATTCCTCTTCATTTAAAAGTGAGAGATCTTTAAAAGTGAGATATCTTAGGTTCGAATATATGGTTTAGTAATATTCCTCTTCATTTAAAAGTGAAAGATCTTAGGTTCGAATATAGTGGATGGTAAATTCGATACCAAATTAGGTTACCCATTTTGTGATATAACCCAACTCTCCTTTCCCTTAGGCTACGGTTTGGTAGTATTCTTCTACATTTAAAAGTTAGAGGTCTTAGGTTCGAATCTAGTGATGGTAAATTCAATACCAAATTAGATTACCCATTGTGTGATTTAACCGCACTCCCCCTCCCCTTAGGTTACCTATTGTGTGATTTAGCCGAACTCCCCTCAAATTCGTCTTTGAGGAGAATTGAACCTAAGACCTCTCATTTACAAGTAAAAAAGAATATTGCTAGACTATAATACTAAAGTAATTTCAAAGTAGTTTTTAATGAAGCATTGGGATTTTTAATAGGGAGTTTTAATGAAAAGTCTACGGTATTGTTCAATTTAACGAAAAACCACATTTTTACACTAAAAAGTCAATCTTGGTACTATTCATTTTACCTTTTATTTTGTCCTTATTATTAAAACTCAAAAGTTTTCAAGTCATTTTCATTAATTTTTAATTTTTAATAAAAAGGATGCTAAAATATAATTGGGCTTAGTCCTAAATTGCTAAATTTATGAACCAATCCGGTTGATAGTGGCTCGGTTTGGTTATTTCTCTCTCGTTTTGGCCACATAAACCAAATTAACTGAGCCACTTAACAAATGAATTAATTGTAAAACCAATCCAAATTGAATCGTGTCTAGTACCATGATTAACTATAACCTCTCTGTATCCGAAAGAAATAGATAATTGTAGCTTACCATCAATTGTCCTCCTTTTGAAAGGGAAAAAAAAGTACTACGATTAACCACCATTTGTAACCAATATTATTTTACAATTCTCTCAATTTCTTAATTGAAGTTTTATTTGAGAAAAAAAAAAGGAAAAAAACATGATTAGATATTAGCTCAAATGGTAGTCACACGAGGACTGATCATTTCAATTAATTTATTTCAATTGAATTGTAGAAGTACAATCACTCGAGAATATGATATTAGTAGTACTCAAGCTAGTAATACATAAGCAAATTACTTATTACTCATGTATTTTGGTATTAAGAAAATAATTAAACATTGTCCAAATTGTTGTTAATCTTTTCATAACATCGGTTTTGGTTATGTTCGATGTAGTAGACAAAGAAGAGCAGCAAACTGGTGGCAATGGCAACAAAATACATGAGCACCACCGCAGCCAAGGGCATGAACGTCCTAAACTGACAAGCAAACCCAAACAGAATGCCACTTGTCAACCCGCAATAGGTTAACCTCAACGCCTCCTTCTTCACTGACTTCTTGCCACGTGGCAACCGGTTGGACACTTGCAGACACTTGTCCAAACCCCAGTAGGCCACGTAGACAAAGGCGACGAAAGCGAGGGCCGGGTAGTCGCCGGCCACGTACGCCCGGTACATTGTGGTGAGGTAGCAGGCTGTGAGGTTGAAGTAAGCAAAGCTGTCGCCGAAGTCTGGTGTTTGAGGAGTGTCTGGGACTTGTGTGGGGTTTTGGTGAGCATAGGTTGGCAACATTTTTGCAATTCTGTGCAAGTTTTTGGTCGAGTGAGGTTTGATTTGGTGGGTTTGTGAGTATTTAAGTGATTCTATGTGTGAAAGTGCCGAGAATTTTCCATGAAGTTGACACACAAGTGCCAAGGAGTTGAACTTGGAATAATTGAACTTTCGTCGAAGAGCACAAGAAGCAGCCTAGAAAGTCATGACTTCCTTTTTTTTTCTTTTCATTTTTAAAAGCGATCAATTGATAACTTTCGCTGCAGTTCACTGTCTCGACAGTCGCGAAAACTCCCAGGGACAGTGTAGTTTCTTTTAGGACACAATCGTGTAAGTCAGGAATCGAACCCAAAACATATTGTGTGAATACGGGCATAAAATTCGTTCCCAAACCATTGGAGCATCTCGTGGTGGTTGAAAGTCATAAATTGTTTGTTTATATTGTCTAGCGGAATTGTACTTCATTAAAAAAAAATGATCGGGATCACATTTTTTAGGACTCTCGTCATAATATATTTCATCGATTCTACTGTCTGTCTTTTAAAGAATTTCTAAAAAAAAATTATTTCTATAAAATATTATCCAAATCTGGAATCATATGATTGTTAGATTAAGTGACAGTCATTTTAGTCTTTCTTTGTAGAACTGTAGTCATTATTACAAATAAATGTCTTAATTTAAATTTGTCTAATTTTTTGTAAAGATGATCTATGAATAACGAATTAAGATATATACAGTTTAGATCGTTAAAAAAGTGAGTCATAACTTACACCAATTCATCTACTTACTGTCCCATTAAAAAAGTGAGTCATAACGAATTAAGATAACCAATTCATCTTGCTATTTTCATTTTGTAATTGGTTTCAATTCGATCAAAACATATAAATGAAACTTAATTCACACTTAATTAATAATAGCTTAATTAGAAGTTAGATTACGTATATGGTAGACATTCATATTTTGTATATGAACGACATTAGAGGCTAAGGAATTGAATTTACGATCTTAAAATATAGAATAAATACTCTTAATCACTTGAGCTACAAGTCTCTTGAATGCTCCCAATTTATTCAATGTTTTGGCCTATGTTTGAGGCCATACAAATTTCAGACATCCTAGAACCCATTAGGGAACCATTTCGTTTTTATGTTTCAATCTTTTGTTAAGAATGGATGGAGAAGAAAGATCAACAAAAGTGGAGGAAGGGTGGTGGGAAGAAGAAATTAAGGGTTCCTTTAAAAATTATTTTGTTTTTAATTTGAAAGCTAATTTTCACACACATTGTTAGAATAAATGGAATTTTAACAAAAAACCAACGATATTGTTCACTTTAACAAAAAATCACATTTTTACACTAAAAAGTAAATCCGAGTACTATTCACTTTATCTTTTATTTTGGCATTATCATTAAAACTCAAAAATTTTAAACTTTTTTCATTAGTTTTCCTTAAAATAAAATCGTTGACACCTAATTTTTCATCGTGATTGATTTTTATTGTGTATTGTAATTGATTAATTATAATCAACATATATTTTCTACCTTAATACAGATTGAGTTAACTATGTATGTATGTGTATGTGTGTGTGTATATATATATTGTATTTTTCTATACATATCAATACAAAGATTCATATTTGTACACATCGAATCACACATCTTTCAAAATTTTAACATCGAATTAATTAAATCAAACGAAATAATTTAACATAAAAACGAACATAATTTTATAATCGAATCCCAGAGGGCTACACCCTGTAAAAACCCCTCGAAATCCCAATCGAAGACAAAGCGCCAGTCTTGTACTCGTCCTGCATAAACCCCCAACTGGAATACCGAGAGCGAAGCCAGCAGAAGAAGATGGCGCACGGCGGCGGAGCAAGGCAGGTGAAACTGGACCGAGAGAGCGAGCTCAGAATCGAAGTCGGCAACGACGCCCCTCTCAAACTCCGACTGCTCAACGGCACCGCTGAGATCTTCGGCACCGAGCTCCCCCCTGATTTCTGGCTCACCTTCCCTCCCAGGCTCAAATTTGCTGTAACCTTCTTCCTCTATTGGTTTTCCCAAATTTACATTACAAAGTTGACGTTTTTCTTGAATTTGCATTGTGGGTTTTGATTGTTAAAGATTTTGAGTTGCATTTGTGTTGTGGGTTTTGATTGTTGAAGGTTTTGAATTGCATTTGTGTTGTGGGTTTTGATTGCTGAAGGTTTTTACTTGGAATGGAGCAACAATTGAGATGGATGGCAGTACTGAAACCGATTACACTGCTGATGAGGTATTTCATGTGCTTGTTATCTGCTTTGCGTTTTTTACTTTTTGCTCCGGATGCATCTGTCACTAATGAGAATGTGAATGGTGACTGATTCCAATGTTTGATTTTTCAGACCCCAAATATCAGTTATGTGAATGTGCACGCCGTACTGGAAGAACGGAGACACCGCGCTAAACCCTTGCCACCGGATGACCCCAATTCTCAGGTACTACTTTTTCACTTGTATGTCAGGGAAAATTAGTGCAAAATTTTCGATGTGTTCTAATTAGTGTCATTCTTCAGTGAATAAAAGTATACTTGTTCACTTGTATGTTGGGAGCAGACAAATGCAAAACATTGAAAATGTTCTAATTAGTGTCATTCTTTAGTGGACGAAAGTGTTTGATGCCCGACTCTAATTTTTTTATGAATGATTGAAATAAGCTTGTGGCTCAAGCGCATTGACTGCATAGTAATGCAAGTCCATTTTCAGGTGTATGTTACCTAGGATTGTTGTAATCCTTGATAAGTGAATATCTGTTTGTGGCTTATAAGCTTCTTTGTGGTTAGGGCCCAAGAGTGATTGTTGTGGGACCGACGGATTCTGGGAAAAGTACCTTGTCGAAAATGCTTCTTAGTTGGGCAGCTAAGAAGGGATGGAAACCTACTTTTGTCGACTTGGATATTGGACAGGGAGCTATAACAATTCCGGGGTGCATTGCCGCTACTCCAATTGAAATGCCTATTGATCCGGTTGAAGGAATTCCTCTTGATATTCCTCTCGTTTATTTCTATGGGCACACAACTCCTAGGTAATTGATTTATGGCATTTTCTTATGGTTATTTGTAGACCTATCATTTCACATCTTGTATTGATATCTGATACTAACATATAAGAAAGATTCTTGT